CTGAAGATCCACAAGTGGAAAATGATAAATTTTTGTTCAAACCAGCAAGTATTGTGAGAACAAAAGTGAAGAGAATTGAGGACTTCCAACCCACTGTAATTTCAATGTCCCTCCATGCACACGAGACAAAAACAATGGTTTTCTAAAATGAGATCCACCAAGATAAAGACTACCACATAAACATGTGCATACAGGATTCAAGAGAAAGGAAAGGATCAATTGTTGTATTTTTAGAGCATTTTCAGAAATGGCCTACATTGCTGCATTCCTTTTTAATATAAAATGAATCAGCAACTCTGGGACTTACTTTACCATCTCAGTAAGTTTCCAAATCATCACCAGCTTCACACAGAGTTATAGCATACACTGCAAGTTGCTTGTTTGGAAATGAAGCATAAATTTCAGGCTCATACAAAAATGCTTAAGCCAGCCCAGCCTTAAACTGAATTACACTCACAGAAAGATACACCTTACTAAGCCTGGACTAGACAAAATTATGGGCTTTTGAATTCCAGTAACATGAACTCTTTAACTGTCTGTCATAAACAAATACCCTGACTTGTTTTTAACTGCATTTTCTCATTCCTCTCTGACAGGTTCCCATATTATACTTACACGGGGCCACAGCATCTATATGATAATAGTCCTCAGACTCAGAAGGGAGTCTCCAAAATACTTAGATCTAAATGCAGATCTCCTTATCCTGCCTATAATTGCATTGAGAAAGGACATACTTTTCTTTTCCCCTATAATCCTACACATGCCATAGATGGTAGATCTGTTCTACTATCAGAGTACTCAAAATAAAACAGAGGCAGATCAATATCACCACTGTAAATTTCAGTTCCTTCCAGCTGAGAGGAGTCAGCCATATCCTTGAACTACCAAGACATATGAGTCACCTAGACATACAAGTTTCTCATCTCATGACCATGCCAATGATTAAAAAAATGAAATGGGAGAGGAGGAATGTTTGAGGTTGAAACAATTTATTCTTCCTCCTTGCAAAGCCCAAACATAATTTTCTACCAATAGAAATATTGCAAACTGCATCCTTGTTTACATTTCTTATAGCGAGGTAACACAACACTGACTATGCTGCTCTGAAAAAAAAAATTCATGCAAATTAAGTCAGCATGGAGATTTATGAGTTTTGTTTATTATGGGACCTGGGCCACTCATTCATCTTTGTGAAGCAGCACTTGTTAATTTTTGGCCAGAATTAACAATTCTATTGTTATTACTGAACTTCTTAAAAGCAACTAGGTAAGACTGGGACCCAAAGCCATTGAGCACCAGAGACCATCCACCTGTATTTGTGTCCTAGACAAGAAGGTGTGGCTTAGCTACAGATAAGGCTCCTGTTAAAAGCTGAGTTTACTTTTGGGATGAAAGGTGAACATAAGTAAGAGAAGGATACTGGTTCAGGAAAGGCACTGCCTCCTTTATGTACGTTCTACAAAACCGGCAGAAAAAGGCAGCAAGGCAGTGACAAAGGTTAGTGTTGTGACTTGTAAACACAACTGGTAACTCCTCTACAACACCTCTGCTCTGCAGAAGGGCTGAAGTAAAGTCTAGTCAGGCAGTAGTGATTTGGCTACAGTGATGTTCAAATCTGGAAGAAATGACAGGCTAGGATGGCAGTTCAGCCCAGCAAATACCAGCACAGAGTAAAACCTGCTATCAAAGCCTTATGAGGTTACCTTTACATCCAGAATTAGAAAGGGCTGTTGACCTAGAATGAAGCGTAATATTGTAACTGGATTTAGGGTTGGGGCTCAAGCCAGCAGATATTGATAAATTGTAGCTTAGAAAGTACCTCTGGGTTAGCACAAAAAATGTTGTTGGTTTAAACCATCTGTCTGCAGAGATCTGTGGGATAAGGAGTGTGATAATGTTAAGATTAGGAGTGGAATTAGGGTTTGAGCATACTCTGGAAGAGGTTGATAAACTGCATCGTCTTGTCTCAGTATCAGGGAGGGCCCCATGCTGTGATAAAGGGGCCACATGACAGGACTTCCCACACCCTTAGCAAGCCCAACACTGCCAGCATGCCAGGCCTTCCCTGTCTATTCTCTGTTGACCAAGGCTTCCCAAGGGGTATGTGAGCTGTCAACCTGTGTTCCCAGTCCCTGGGATTACTGTGCCTTGTGTACATGCACAGCCAACCTGGCACTCCCCACATGTACAGATTTCCTGAACCACAGAGCACGGTGTGTACACACAGTGGATGGGGTGAGGAGAGGGACTCAAACAAGGAAAGCATCTGTCTGAAAATGTCCAGTCTTGCTGTCTCCATTTCTCCCTTCATTTGCAGCAGGGATGGCAAATCAGAAATATATCAAAGACTAAAACCTTCTGGTAACCAATGTCTCCTCTCTTCACAGATGCATTTTTAAAAACAGTAGGTCAAGTCTGGGCAGCAGGTTGGTCCTGCCAAGGAAATCAGAACCTAAATCAGCCAAATACACCAAGAAGCAGCACAAGAGCTTGTCTGTGTCTTCCCCGCTGGCTTTGCCAATGATAATCTTGGCAGTACTATTTAGCACTTACCCTTTTCCCAGTTCTTGGGAATCAGCCATATTACTTAGCATTTTCCAGGCTAGGGGGAGGGTGCAGGATTAACCTTGCTTACTTCACATTATAGAAAAACCGGACACATATCTTAACTACCTCTGTGTTTTAATCACGAAATATGCTCACCCAAGTTAGTGATTAATGGTGAAAAGTTCAGTTTTAGTGGCCAGACAAAGACAGTTTTTGGAGGAGGAACCATATAATCACTTTTCAAGGACGAAATAATTTCCAGACCAGACGCTACATAGTTAAAAACCTTAAAAATCAGTATTAGTAGCACACAGCTCTACCATTTTCCAAGCTTGTGATGTAGAGAATGCAGGGGAGGCAAGAACAACAGTTCTCAATTCAAGGAGCAAACCTGCTTCAGCATTCACTACAAACTGTGGAGGAAAAAGCTTCACAGTGATCTTGCCAAGAGGATCTTAAAATAAGTGAACCTCATGGTCACAAGACCACACACTACTGTTGTGAAACAGTCACTGGGTAAATAAGGGTGTAGCCTCTAACATTTTACTGCTGCTGGTGGGGGGAAAAATAACAGAAAATCACATGCAGAAAATGGTCTGACCCCTAAAAAGGTATTAAGTCAAGAAAAAGGAGATCTTGCAAATCTGCACTCATGTCAAAAATATGGCAGAACAATGCTGCCATTCTAGTCCTCTCAATGCAGTAATAACACTGAGTAGGGAATAAAGGTAATTTGTAGAGTTAAGCCTGCAGCACATAATTAAGGCAAAAATAATAACAGAAATAAAAGAGAATTCCAAGGTATGTAGGAGTAAAAGTCAGGATGATGTACAAATGACAGCTGACCTTCAGTTTAATAAGATGAAGTCACAGAAGCAGTACATGTCCAGGATGATATAAAACTATTAACAAAATATGATGAAGTAATAAAATGTAAGATGCTGATTTTAAAACATAGAAACAGGCAGATAGCTCAGACTAGCAGAAATATTAACAAAGCCAAATGAACAGGATGTCATTCCATGGCCTTAACTGTTGAAAAACCTGTTGAATTTTCTTATCACTTTTGATTTCAGCAAAGTTTACCAAATTTATCTTTTATAGTTTGCAGAAATCAAGTAAAGGACTTGCAAAATAATCACTTCCACAAAGCCACTGTTTCAGTTCTGTGTATAGAAAGGTCTTGCCTGCCTCTGCACTAAGTGAAACTTTCACTTACCAATCTAACTGGCCCTCTCTGGGGTGGGTGTCAGGGAGAGGCAGAGGGAGGAGAGAGCAAAGCACCTGCATGCAGCAACTCAGCAAGGCTGGCAGGGGCAGGGGCTTGAAGGGCAGAGCACTTCAGCCAGCCAGGCCCTCCCCATCACAGGGAGCAAAAGACCATTTCATTCATTTCTCCCTCTGGCCTCTGCTTCTCTGAGGAAGGGAGGGAGGAAAAACAAAGGCATTAAGCATTTAGCATTACTTCTCATGCAAGGAGGATGCAAAAGCATCTTAAAGTTACTTCCTCTTCAGTTTCCTGAGAGTTTCTCTCTACTGTTAACCCAGCAGAACTGAAGGGTTTTAGTGTCAATGTGTTCTGATGGGCTATTTGGGATATTCCTCTAGTCTCAGCTTCCACCATGACACTTAATTTATGTGGTACACTAAGCTCCTGGTCCGTAGATATGACTTGCATTTATGAAGAAGCACTATAAATGGCTCAATCCTCTGGTACAAGTTAGCATAATGTTTTCCAACCTGTATTAATATCAGGTTTTTTATGAGTTAAGCCAATTACACTAGTTTTTTTAAACCATGCTTATTAATACCTCTGTCTGTAATAAGAGCTCACTGGGCTCTAAAACATGCACAGATTACTCTGTAGAAAACAGAAGGTAATACTTTTAAATGATTATTCAGTCACCCAGATAACATTAAAGAACTTGCCACAATTAAAATTCATAAGCTATGTTTCTGAATTTCACAACTCAGGTCAAGAACTGCAAAACCATAATGATCACCAGTGAAATACTGTCCTGACTCACTCCATCCAAATAAGCTACTCCTACAAAAGCACTACTGTGCTACAGGAGGGGAGGGTGACAAGGAAGGAGCTGATAAGAAATAATTACACTAATAACCTGCTAATGAAAAGGTGAATTAATTGAAACACACCATGAAGTATCCAAGAGTATACAAAGTAATAGTAAAGTAGTTTACACTGGAAGGCTGACTATCCAGTGCAGGGATTAAATCAGATTGTGACATTAATGGCACATCCAATGCTAAAGTTGATAATGGATTTTCTGTTGCCTACCGTCAAACTTGAAATAATGCTGCATGCCATTTTCACAAACAAACCTTATAAAAGGACCAAAATCAGAAAATGACACAGCCAGTATCACACAGAATAACAACACAGAAAACAGAGTCTTCTCATTGACAGAACAATAAACTGCCCACTATTGTACCTTCATGACATCTTTATAGGAGTGAATGGCCTCAACTTCTTCTTTGCCATCATCATCATCCTCCACTGCTTCATCCAGAGCATCATATCCTTCATCCCTACTCCCATCTGTTTCTGTGGCATTAGTCATGTAGTCAATAAGCTGCTCCAGTGGAGGACTTAATTCCCTCTCTTCATTTTCCTTCAAACCATAGTCCAGGGCTTTATATATAATAATCCCTAGTGATTCAATAACCTGTAAAAACAAAAAAGAAATATATATTAATGGCATTTACATGAATGAATAGGTCAAGTGAGGAACAACCTTTTCTGGTGTTCGTATAACAAACCCAGCAACTGAGAGGGCAATAAACATCAAAATCAAAGAGAAAAATGATCTGCTAATACCTACAGTAGCACTTGAATAAGCATTTGAGTAATACAGCATAGAACAAGCAAGAGCAGTTCCTACCACATTTCTACAGTTTTCTTATATCAATATTTGAAATGAAACTTCATTTAAAAACAAAGCAGGACCTTTTAAGGCTATTTTCCCTTTTTTCTTCTGATATTGCAAACCTCAAAGTGACATTACTTTGTAAGCCTATGTTGCACACACATGATCTTTTTTTGTGGGGCAGGTAGGAAGAAATTGAAAGAAAGAATAAACTAACATGAGATGCCTTCTTCTTCTCACAGCTTAACGACACTTGGAAACTGCCCTTCAACAGGTGTCTCTTCCTTGACCTGAGAGGTGTCTGGACACAGCTGTGGATGTCCCAGTACTGCTCACTGAGCACTGGGACAGCAGCCCACAAGAACTCCTTTGCCTACTGCACAGCTGTGGAGGCCACTGAAACTGCCAACAACTGTATTCCATAGTGATGAAGTTGTGCCTCAATTTTTCATTGAATTGAGGCTTCTTATTTGTGCCCTGTCAAGAGCAAAGCAAACCAATGACCTCTTACTCAGTGTGAGCTAGGTAAAGATTGTTGTGAACATCCCACAATGATAAATGCACATTTTCTCTCTTGACATAGCTATTTTCCTTATGAGCAATATCAAAGCCTCTGGAATTTTAAAGATGTAAGTAGATGGCATTTCAAACTGAGGAGTTTGAAAATTGGCATTAATGAAGAGGGAAGGGAAAATGGGATTGCAATAGTAAACCACAAGAAGGTAATGTCACTGCTGGGAGATCCTTGTCTGACAACGGAAGTAGGACTGGAGTTATTGCATGTAATCTCTGATCTTCCTTGTGTGTTGGGATAGATAGCATGTCACACAAATTAGCAGACTCCAGTGTAGGAGTAGTTGGCACAGCAACAACTTTAATAACAGGAGCATTTCTAAATATACCAAACCTTGTCATCAAATGACATTTCCTCTAATCTGCCTTTTGGTACGATCCTGGTCGACACACTTTTTACTGCAGAGTTTTGAAATTCTGTTTGAGGAAATAGGACAACACAAAGGGATTCTTAAAACATTAAATTTTACTCTAGCTGCTTACTTACTTCAGCACAATAAAGTATTTTTGGTCTGAGAGGCTGGAGGTTAGCAAAGACTTAAAATTGTTTCCCTTTAGTTTATCTAGACAGACGATTTAATGACAGCTTTACACTTGTGTACTTCATTCCTCTGTTGGGATTACTTTGCAGTGCAAATTCACTTTGCAAGACAATGGCTAATAAACAAAAAACAAATTAAAAACCCAATATATAAACCACTTTATTTTATATTTGATTTCCAATAATTTTGGTAACTTGGTTCAATATAAAATTTTGCACATGCAAAGCCCTTGAAATATTTTTATACATATTTATTTTAAAATGCAGCTAGGGAAAGTGATTAGGCAAATTAGTGAAGAAGAAAAACCTGTATGTGTTTTTTTCAGTTCAAAGAACAGCTTCTGTCTTGGGGAGTGCTATTGAGACAGGAAAGTATGTCAGGGAAGCATCACTGCTTTCTTGCTCAGCTCTCATACCCTTCCCCTGACTTCTGCCATGACTCACTTTGGGGACAGGACACTGCACCATACAGACCTTAAAAAAACTCTAAAAGATTAAATTTATATTTGTAGTATATCTTGCTCACTTCTTAAGGAAGCTGTTTTGCAGTAACTGTCTTGTAAAACTTGTATTGTTAAAAAAAAAATAAACTGGAAATGTGGAATCACACAAAATAAAATATATTAATTCAAATGGTAGACATGTGTTCCCTGTAACTCAGGTGCTGAGTACAATCCCAACATACATCTCTTCAGCAACTAAAAGGGAACAAATAATAGCAGTTTGAAGGAAACTGAAGTGAAAATGAAGTATAACTGAATAATCACTTTAATACTTTGAGCACCTGGGAATAAACACAAAGTGAGTAATTTCTAACTTCAATAAAAAGTACATTTGAAAGGACTTAGCATACATGAAGACTGAAATGTCCAGATCAGATGTAAAGAAAATAATGTCTTGTGCCATGCAGTGATGGCTGCTGAACATAGCTTCTGGATTTTGCTACCAAAACTTCAAAAAAATAGAAGAGGGAGTGGATAAAGAAAGTGCACTCTCTTTGCCTTCTTCTGTTTGGGAAGAGGATTAAGGCATTCAAAAGCATCGTGGCTAAAACTGGATGACAGCTGCTCCCTTCTTTGATGTATCAGCAGTGGGCCTTCTGCAGCTCAGTAATATGGTTGGTGTGTTTTTATGTGCTATGAACAGATTTCATAATGCATGCAAAGCTGACACAAGACAAAACCTGTAACAGCACCAAGTCAGAGCTGCAGTTCAGTCTCTCAGCTCCTTATTTAGGACACGTGATCAAAACCATATTTACTCATTGTCTGTATCACAGATTCTTTTGCTGAAAGACAAAGCAGCAAACAACTTAACTAAGTAACTTTGCTTTGACTTGCATTGAAACTGAAACATTCAGTGCTTTCAGGATTATCAGTTTACCAAGGATCCTGTAAACCACACAATTGCCATACAGCTATCAAACAAAAGTCACAGAATTGTCAATGCTTCTTCCCATGGATAAAACCACTAATGCAACTTCATACAAATAAAACTTTTAGGTCTATAGAACTAGAAACAAAATATACAAGTCAATTGATTGCTGCTTCAGTGCATGAGTGCTGTCACTTTACCTGTAATACAAATCAAACACAAACAAAACGAAAAAGGAAACTCTTTTCACAGCTAACTGGATGAATTGATAAATAAGAGGGATTTTTGGGTTGGATAATCAGAGACTGCCACTTTTAATTTTTTTTTTTAAGCATCACTTATTTACAAAGAAATCACACTGATTGGCCAGTTTAGCAGAAAATAAAAACCTCTGGCACCTAGTAAGTGACAAACACCGAAATCTGTGAAAACATGGATATATTAAGAAAAACAAGGGTAAAAATGGACCTAGCAAAGCTTTTTTAAACCACAAAGTTCCACATTTACATCCTAAAACAACTGCATAACACTGAAATAAGTGTCATCACTAACAGTAAATAATGCTGCTCAACTCAGGTAAAAAAATAAAGACCTGCACCTTGAATTTTAGAATTGTTCCACATTGATTTAAATTTCAGCAAAGACCTACCTCTGGAAATCAATCAGTGGATAAATAAATTTTTGAAATCAACAAGGAAGCCTGCATTATTAAGCTTTACACCTTCTCATCAAGTTCTTTTGAAAGTCATGGCTTCAGACCAAAAAAAAACCCAACACACAAACATTTCCCACAGATTGAACTTGTACTTTGCTGTGCTGAAATCATTAGTGAAAGGACAGCTTTGTCCCACCGCGAGCATTCCTGCAGTTTCTACACCAGTCTGGACTCATACAGTATTTTTATAACAGACTGGGATAAAGTTGCTGGAACACTTTGACTTAAAAAACAATGTAAAAACAATAGCCACACACTCCTTTTACACACATGGCAAAAACAAAGCCCAAATTATTTAGATTCTTTTCATGCACAAACATTGCCCATATTTCCATTTCATATACCTTCCTCCAGCACCTTAAGGAATGCCTCTTGGACAGGGATTTATTAGTGTTTTAGATTTTTAATATGACCCAAATTACACTCTTCCAATGAACTCCGCCAATTTAACATCCTTGAACTCTTCAAATATACAGCCTTTGTACAGGAACCAAAGAGGTTTGATACTTGCAAAAATGCAATTATTGCAAGTACTTTACTTTGAAAAAAAGTCTTTTTTTCCCTCAACATGTACATTCTCCCTGAAGCTAGATGAGAACAGGCAGAATCCACATCCACGGCACACACAATGGGGCACTGCCTGAGCTTTCATCCCCTTCCTAGGCCTGCCTCAATTTTTAAACAAACAAAGCCTAAGGACGGGCTTGTACTTAGAGCAGCAAAGGTTTTCAGCTCAAATGCCTGTCCCTCCCTAAAGTTCTCCCTTTGACAAGGGAAGCTTGGATATCACCGTCATGAGATTTATAGTCTTTGCAAGTAAAAGGTGGAGCTACATCTGGAGTCTGGACCTCATCAGCTGAAAGACTTCTTACTTCTTTGGGAAGTCGAACCCCACCATCTGGGGATACTCTTTCCTGGGGTACATCCTGAGAAAAACTAACTCACAATAGTGTATAGAACTGTGATGTAAAAATTGGGAATAGAAACTGCTGGGAATCGAAACTGCTGAGAAAGCTGTGTGTACCCCTATAAATGCCTGTAAGCCTCAACCATCGGTGTGCAGTTGGAGGGAAAACTTCCCCCACTGTACCCAGCGCTGTTTTGCTCATACTTTACCATATTAATTAATAAATTGATTGTTGCTTGAATATTGGCCTAGTCAAGCTTCTCATTTATAACACTTCCTCCAAAAGCCACTCAGGTTTTTTGTCCCTAAACTTGGATTAAAGATGCTGTAAAGCTCCAGCTCCTTAGGTGAGTTAACTAACTTTGAACTTTCCCACAGGGACCTCAGATATGCCCACCAGCCTCAACAATATTTGCATTACTACTGCACTTTTATGAATGCCAATAGTTTTTTATTAAAAATGTGCAGTACAATAATTATTTTTAAGTGCTTCCACATTTTACCCAGATCTCCAACACACACAGGAGAATCATGAAAGAGATGAAGAGAATGAAGGAGAATCATTCTGCCTCACGGTGGGAGTGCTGAGAGTTCAGGGCTGGCACTCCTTAGGGCAGAGCTCCTCTCCACCACAAACTCTGCCATGTAAAAGCTAACCTGTCCTAAAGCTGACTTTCAATTAGCTTGCC